TGTAAACTATCCCCCCCCCCCTATAACCCATCCCCCCACTTTAAATCCTTCCTCTGTATTCTTGTTAGAGCCCCTTATAAACCAAAGACCCTTACATTACAAAAAGATTGTAAACCTGAGTTAAAAACTTTTTCACATTTTGAGAAAATTAAACTGGGTTTCGAACAGAATTTGTTAGTTATTAAAAGTAGACATTATAAATTATGTTGAAAGAGACTACTAAAACAAACTGCCTGGTTTTATTTTACTACCGTCTTAAGTTTCAACCACACTTGAACTAAGAATAAGAGGAAGGGTAGAGAGAGGAGTAAGAGAAAAGGTTGGAAGATTTTATCCATAAGTGTGGAATGAAAGGGGTTGAACGGGTGGNTAAGGGGGTTGGACCGAAGAGGTTTTTTGTTAGGATTAAGAACTAAAGCTTGGTCAATTATCAACTAAACCCTTGAACAGCATGGTTTAAACACAAAGAAAGACATTCTTTTCACTCGGTACTTTTTGTTCTTTTATTCTACAGAAAAAAGTTTTAGCTGAAATACAATTTGCACCGGAGTTTTGAAATTAAGGAAAGAATTTAGGTTGAAAAGAAATGATTTCACCAGTTTTTATCAGTCATTATTGATAGCTCTTAGAGAAAAAGCTGATATGTTTTCAAAATGACAACTTTTAAAGTAAAAAAAAAAAAATGTTAAAAATAAATGAATCCGAACTGATCTTGAACATGAATAATAAGCTTTAGAACTCTTGAAGTATATTGTAGGTGATTAATAGCCTGGTTTACTAGATGGATTGCAGAGAGATATGAGTTGGAATAAAATTATCTTTTTGTTTTTGTCCCCCCCCCCCTCACCCTACACTCTTCCCCCTACACTCCTCTTGTCAAAACTGCGAAACAAACCAACTTATCTTCAGCTTTGGCTTGAAAATATGGCAGTTTACAGGCACGGTTGGCACCCAGATATATGTCTCACTTAAAATACACTTTTTTTGAAGTTGAGGGGAGTGGGGAGGGGTAGAAATTAGCTAAATTAGTTAAATTGCATTATTAGTCCATTTATTTGACAAAGGAATTGAGTCTTTGTCACAACCTCATATTTTCTAATCCCTTTATCTTTGCAACTTGATGTTGTAGACCTTTGATATTTCAAACTATGATTTCTGTCAGATTAAATAATCTAAGTTTGAAAAATCATAGGTTTACACCTTTAAGCTGCGAAGATATAGGAATTAGAAAATTTAAAATTTTGACAAAAACTCAATTCCTTTAATGCAAAGATAATTTTCAAAGAATTTTTATTTGATTTAAGTATTTTAAATAAGTCCTTGATCTAATTGTAACGTTTAATGTTTGTATGCTTCTTGTATCGTACCCCTGTCCTGTTTGTGTGCGTCCATCCTTGTTTTGGTTGTGAACATGTGGACGCACTGAGAAATATATTATGACCCGCCGACCTTAGCCCCCTTTAGGAGCCTGATATATGATACATCACTTCAATTATTCAATCTATATCGTATATAATAATATACAATGGTGGATATTATTATGTCAGATTATTTCATCACTGGCAACTGTACATTTACCTCAAATAGTACTGTACGCTGTACACTGTATACTGTACAATACATTTGCAAAGTGGTGCTAAAATTTTGAATGTAAAATCTAAGTTTTTTTCATTTTAAATTAATCAATATGATTATAGTTATAGAACTTTAATTTTTCTTCTCTTAAAGATTTTAATTAGAGTTTTGATAACATTATCAATTTATATAGTCTGTGAATTATTTGTAAAAGCAAAATGAAAACATCTCTTGTATATCATATTCACATAAATTTATATTGATTAAAGTAAGACTCATAAAACTGTGGAATAGGAAGACGACTCAAGTTATGATTTTTAATTTATTTGGAAAATTGTTTTAAATTATACATTAGATTGCTTAATGTCGTCTTTTTCTTTCACAGCTTTTTGGGACTAACTATATATATGATCAACTTGAAATTGGGAATCCTTTCGTTGCATACTGTAGCTGGCAACATCTAACAATAGAGGACGCACAAAAGTGTGACATACATACATAACAAACCTTGCTGCTCAATTTAGGATTTGGGTGGGG